TTCATTACTTTTGTCTTCTTTTCATTTATTTTCATATGGAATTTCTCCAATCCAGTTTTGAACAGTCGATTCAGAATTTTCTGTAATCCCTCTTTACTTTCACTCAGCAGGACTATGTCGTCAGCGTATCTTATGTTGTTTATTAAGCATCCATTGATTTTCACTCCTTTGTTAAAACGATTACTTAAATTGAGCTTAATAAACAGCAGGAATTGAGCTTCACGACAGCTTTGTTAAAATTATTACTTAAATTAATATTGATTTTCACTCCTTTGTTAAAATAATTGTATGAATTTTAATGAAATTTCCATCATGATGGCTTTTTTACTTCTATCATAAGTGAACTTTGTGATTTTAGAGAAATCTCTGGCTGGAGTCTTTGCTTTGTTTATTTTGTTGCTTCATCAGTGCTGTTATCATTTCCATATTGTATCCTAGTACTCTGGCGATCTGAGTTATCGTATTCATTTCTTTCTGCCAATCTGTTATACTACTGCAATAGAGAAAGATCCTTCTAATGAGGGCACGGAAGGCAGCCATTTTGTACTGGAAAGGATCATTCGAGTGTGATGGAATGTACAGTGGGCTTTGCGTCGGTTTGATGTAAAGTACATCTTAGTGACCAAATGCCCCTCCTTGAATTCAATATCTATGACTAAAAAATGTATCTGTGAGGAAATTTTCTGTTCAATCTTGATCTTGAGACCGTCATTGTTGTTGTTGATCGTGCTAACAAACTCATTGATTTTTCGGTCATTCTTCCGTAGCACAAAGACATCGTCTGCGTATTTTTTAAAATACACATCAGACTTTAAGTCACAAAGAACACTTTTTTCTAATTAAAGAAACCATAAACCTCACATTTAAACCATATTTTCAAAGATTTCCAAAGACAAAGTTTTATCGAATTTTTCAAAATGAAACTTAAAATATAATAATTGATTTTTAACCGCACAAAAATAAATATACTGTTGTTTAATTAAAATCTTTTTAACATTTTAGGTAATACTAGTCAAAAACAAACGTACAGGGCGACCAAGAGGCCTGGCTTTCATTGAATATAAAAAACAAAAAGACATGTACTGTAAGTATTGCTTTTTATAAAATTATTACCACCCGAATTTTATAAAATATGGGCTTTCCGTTCCTCCTACAGTAAACCATAGGCGTGAACATAGTACACATTTTCTGGGAAATTTTCCAGTTGGGAAACTGGTATCTTTCCTATTATACTTACGTTTAACAATCACTAATTATGTGAAATTATTACTGGTAACAGTTCTTATGNTTATTGCGTTTTAGTAGGGTACATCAACAGAATGTACACTAAAAAGTGATTTTTCGATATTTCTCCGCGGGGGAGAGGGACAGAATTAAGGCTTACCATGAAGAACTTGGCTTCTATTATATTATTTTAGATGCAGGTTTTTGCGTTTTTGATTGTGTTTTAATAGGGTATGTCAAGAGAATGTACACTGAGAAGAAATTTTTCGAAAAATTTCCCTCCACAGGGGGTGTTATACATTTATAATAGATACATTTTGAGCCACAACTATGCATGGCGGGGTCTGCTAGTTTGTATATGTATCTTTATTTTATATTTTCGGGTTGCGAAAAAAATCACAATCATAAATGGAATCGTGAATAAAAAAAGTTTAAGAAGCCCTGATCTAATACAATTATGGGTTTGACATAGACTTAGTTTTTATCTGGAAAATGTAGATTTTCTATCCATCTAGAACAAGATAACATTTTAGTGTCCAGCAGGGCCTGCCGTGCTATGACGCAGAGATGCAGCCGCATCAGGCGGCACTGTAATGGGGCGGCATAAGCAGCATTTCGAATACTTGCATCATAATGAGAAAATCTACCGCACGTCCCAGGTGTCCAGTAATGCTTATTGCACAAGCAAATTTGGGTGTCCTTCGGGAGGAATACTTCTTATAATAAAAAAAATTCTGAAGAAATTATATATCAAAATATAACAACATACTATATACTAGTGATGATAAGAATTAATAAGCAACTCAAAACGGTTGGTTTGTTAGAGTTTATTGGCGCAAGGGCCATACAGGCCAAGCTGCGCCATAGCAAATGGTATATATAAATAAATAAATATATATATATATAAGATGTTCAATATAAATAAATAAATAAATAAACTAATCAATAACAAAACCACATATAACAATATACATATAAATAATAACAAGATGTATACATAAATGAATAAATAAATAATCAACAAGGTATATATATAAACGTAACCTACATAAATAATTAAATATGTTTATAAATATTATTCACTTTCAAAAAGTTCAATAATTTGTCAAGATTTGGCCTCTGGCCCAAAATCTCTCTCAGACTTGCATTTCCAAAATGCTGTCTATGACTTTGATCAAAAGCTGTGCAGTTGCAAAGCATGTGTTTTACACTTAGAAAGCAGTTGCAATGCTCGCATACTGGCTGGTCTTCACCCTTCAAAAGGTATTGATGAGTCAACCGAGTATGCCCAATTCTCAAACGAGTAAGAATTACTTCAGATCTCCTGTCATACTGTTTATTATGTGTCCAATTTTCTATATTTGGCTTGATCTCATGTAGTTTATTGTGGACTTGTGCATTCCACACGTTTTGCCATCTCTCTGCTAGTCGTTTTTTAACTACTAGCTTCAAATCGACTCCTTCAATACGCATTATATGCTGTAAAGGAGTAGCTGACTTTGCAGCTGCGTCAGCTTCTTCATTCCCTTTTATACCTACATGGCCTGGGACCCAACAAAATTTTACAAAGAAATTACTCGCAGTAAGATGGCAAAAGAGCTTACGAATTTTAATCACTATAGAGTGAGAACTAGGTTCACATGAAATCAAAGCCTGAAGTGCACTAACTGAGTCAGTGTAAATAACACAGGAACGATGACCTTTCCTATTTATATACTTTAAAGCTAAATAAATAGCATGCAACTCTGCAGAAAAGATGGAAGAATTCAATGCAATTTGTTCTGCCACGATTTCATCCTGGCAGACGAAAGCTGAGCCAACGTAATCATCAGATTTAGATCCATCTGTATAAATAGGAATTAAATTCCTGTCACGATGTTGAATTTCTGCAAAGTGCTGTCTGTAGACGTAGTCTGGTGTGGATTCCTTAGGAAATTGCTTTAAGCTAAGGTCAACACTTATCAAAGGAGTTGACCAAGGTGATATACTACAGACCTCTAGCTGTGAAATGTTGCCTGTGTTTAGATCAATTGTGCTACTCACATTCTCCATTCTTACGGCGAATGAAGGGACACTGCTTGGGCGAGCTTCAAATAACCTTTTCAGCTGAGTATCTAATACTGTACAATCAACTGAAGGTTTAGTGTGAGATTTCTGTTTTATATAGTAAAATAGAGACAACTGTTCTCTCCTGAGAGATAGTGGAGGCTCATAAGCATCCACATACAAACTTTGTACAGGAGAAGTTCGAAAAGCACCAGTGCACAAACGTAGTGCTTGATGGTGAATTGGATCCAGCATCCGAAGAGTAGATTCTCGCGCAGAGCCATAAACAATGCAACCGTAGTCCAGCTTAGAGCGGACAAGGGCCCTATAAATCCTGAGCATAGAAACTTTGTCTGCTCCCCAGGATGAGCAGCATAGTACCTTTAAAAGGTTTAGAGATTTTAAACATCTACTCTTCAGGTTGCGCAAGTGTGGCAAAAATGTCAGTTTTGGGTCGAAATAAACACCCAAAAACTTAGCCTGATTAACCATTAAAATTTTATCGCCATTTAGGTGAATTTCAGGATCCAGGTGCAAATCACGCCTTCGGCAGAAGTGGATGCACGATGTCTTCGCTGCATTAAATGTAAACCCATTGGTCTTGGACCAATTATATATGTGATTTAGGGAGATTTGAAGTTGTCTCTCAATGAAATTCATATTACTAGACTGACAGGAGATCTGAAAGTCATCCACATACAAAGAGTGTTTCACACTGGGAGGGAGACAGTTAGCTATGCTGTTAATTTTAATTAGGAACAGAGTCACACTCAAAATAGAACCTTGAGGAACACCTTCTTCTTGTGTGAAGAGCCTAGATAAAGTGTTGCCCATCCTAACTTGGAATCTTCGATTCTGTAGGAAGTTTTTTATAAAAATTGGCAAATTACCCCGCAATCCAAATTGGTGTAGATCACGAAGTATCCCGTATCGCCAACAGCGATCATAGGCCTTCTCTATGTCAAAAAACACAGACACTAAGTGCTGTCTTCGAACAAACGCTTCGCGTATAGATGTTTCAAGGTTTACCAGGTTATCAGTGGTACTTCTGTTCCTACGGAAACCACTCTGATGTGGTGAAAAGTATTCCTTTTTCTCTAAGAGATACATTAGACGCCTGTTTACCATTCTCTCGAAAAGTTTACAGAGACAACTTGTCAGAGAAATTGGTCTGTAATTAGAGGGATTCTTGTGATCTTTACCAGGTTTGGGAATGGGAATAATGATAGATAGCCTCCAAGAGTCAGGAAAAGTATGTTCTGTCCATATTCTGTTAAACAGATGCAAGAGATTAGAAAGGGAATTGTTTGACAGATTTTTAATCATGCTGTAGTGGATTTTATCCGGGCCTACAGCACTATTCCCCGAGCGAGAGATTGCTGTATGTAATTCAATTCTAGTGAATGGCACATTATATTCCTCATTAGATGAGGAGTAAAAGTTTAAACACTGTTTTTCTCTTTGGGCTTTATAAGCTTGAAAATTCCTTGAATACACAATATTGCTGGATGAAGCAGAAAATGTTTCACCCAATAAATCAGCAATACCCTGTATATCGCTGATTATTGTGCCATTATTTTCCAGCATGGACAGAGAGTGAGAAGCATATTTCCCATTAATTTTATGGATTTTATCCCAGACTGCTTTTGAGCTAGTGGAAGATGTTATGCTTGAAACATACTTCCTCCAAGAATCCCTTTGGCTTTGCCTTCTTATTCTTCTGGCATTTGCCTTTGCTTTTTGAAAAGCAACCAAATTTTCAGCAGTGGGGTATCTTCTAAAAATCCCCCATGCTTTCTTTTGTGCTTTAAATGCTGCCTCACAATTCTGGTTCCACCATGGTTTCGGATGTTTTGGATATCTAGTTGATGTCTTCCCCATTGTTTTTTCTGCTGCCTGAATGATACTCGAAGTGACAACCTCAACTGCATCATTGATATCAGCAGTATTGACCATTTCCTCAGTGATGTTAGCCAAAGTGGAAAATGAAGGCCAATCTGCCGTTTCAAGTTTCCAGCGTGGTGGACGGGCTGTTTCACAGCTTTCTCTGCCTCGATATTTTAGAAATATTGGGAAGTGGTCGCTAGAGAGTGGATTAGATCCAACCTCCCATGAAAATGCTGAAAACAGGTTTGGGCTTGCTAATGATAGATCAATGGCAGTGAATGTTCTTGTTGAGGCATGAAAGTACGTCACTTCTCCTGTATTAAATAAATAAATTTGCTGATTGCCTATAAATCTTTCAATGGTCCTGCCTCGACGATTAATGTCGGGACTGCCCCACATCGGATTGTGACCATTGAAATCACCGAGTAACAGGAACAGAGTTGGCAGCTGTTCAACTAATGCGTCCAAATCATCCTCATTGGCTCTGACATCTGGTGGCAAGTATATAGAACAAACTGTGACCGTTACGCCAATTGAAATTTTGACTGCCACAGCTTGCAAATCAGTGGTTATTTGTACCGGTAAAGATGGAATGTGGTTTGAAACCAGGATAGCCACACCGCCACTGGCACGGTTGTGGCTATCATCATCCTTGCGATAGAGATTGAATCCTTTCAAAGAAATATTATCTCCAGGTTTTAGATGGGTTTCCTGGAGTGCCACACAGAGAGATGAGGTATATGATGTCAAGTGTTTAATGTCAGAGAAGTTGTTGCGGAAACCACGACAGTTCCATTGGATTATTTTATAATCCATTATGTGTTTGAGGCAGCATTCTTTGCGAGGGTATCCCTCTTTAATTTAACAGGCGGTTTCTCTTTTGGAGGTGACTTTGGTTTTGAAACCTCCATATAAGGCTCTTCATCAGATATGTCAGAAAACTCACTCATAGATTGAGCTTCTGATTTTTTTGAGACTTTAGAGAGGGCTGCTTTCACTCTTTGTTTGTTAAGTGGGTTCTTGTTGGCTTTTTTAGAACCCACATTTCTGGTTGTTACTCCCATTTTAGTTACAGAGGTTTTGGTCTTTGTGTTCTCCTTTTCTTCTGATTGTGCAGATGGGATCAATAAGCATTTTGCATGGCGAGTAAGAGATTCACTTGGGGATACAGAAATATCTGTTTGAACCCCACATGTCTTGGTAGATTTCAACACAGCAGCAAAGGTTTTTTGTTTTGTTGGTAAACTTTGGGTGACCATACGACGGGCCTCTGTGTATGATATATTATTTATGGTTTTTAATCGTTGAACCTCTTTTTCTCTCTGCCATGCAGGGCATTTCCGAGAGTAGGAAGGATGGGTGTCTCTACAGTTCACACAGCATGGGGTACTTTTACATTCAGTACTAACGTGGTCTTCACTCCCACACTGTGCGCATACGCTTTTGCCTCGGCAGGATGTCTGTGAATGTCCAAACCGCTGGCATTTGAAGCAGCGCAGCGGATTTGGAACGTAGGGGCGGACTGGACAGCGCAGATATCCTGCAGTAATGAAAGATGGCAATGTCGATTTGTTAAACGTTAAAATTAAGTGTTTGGTAGCAATTAACTTGCCATCTCGACGAATGGAGATGCGTCGAACGGCAGTTACACCTTGATCAGCAAGGCCGATCTGAATATCTGATTCATCCTCAGACATCAGATCGATCTCTGATATCACACCACGTGATGAGTTTAGACTTCCATGTGGGGTGACAGTTACCTCTATATCTCCAAGTGTCTTAATTGCCAAAAGTTTTGCAGATTGTTGAGGTGAGGTTGTTTCTAGAAGCAGATCTCCTGACCTCAATTTTTGTATTTTTTTCAAATTTCCAACTGTAGATTCAAACAGTTTCTGGATCAGAAAAGGAGAACATTTTGATAGAGGTGTTTGTCCAGTAGCATGGACTATGAAGTAGGTTGGCTGACTGGAAATGATTTGTTTCTTTGTAGCATTGTCTGTAGTTTTGGTTTTTTGATGATCCATGATTATGTAATATTAATTCAGCTCCCAGTGACCCCACCCTCCATGGGGCCCAACAAGGGGATGCCGTCACATGAGAGATTCCCATAGACCGTCACACCAGGGTTTCCCAAGAGCTATACCCTCACGATGCAGTCAAGAAGAGCACATCTAGTCTAACGTGTCCGCCCGGTCTGCATCGATCGGTTGACTCCAAGCCGAGGTCAAGAATGACTCAACGACCAGCCGATTGACTCAAACGGAGCCTGATTTGAGCCTCCCGTTTATCCGAAGCAGGGGCCAAAGCAGTGTGTTGGGGACGTTATGTTGCCCCTCAACTACCAGGATCCCCCTTTCCGGCATACGGGACACCACGCACAGCAAACACGTGGATGGGCGTTCAGATCCCAGGGATGGTAAAGAGGAGTTTCTAAACCATCTCTGGGAGGTCCCCTCACCACGGACAGGAACCCGCATCGAGGGGGCAACTCAAAACAGTTTTGAGTAGAGCTTACCTAGGAGTAATTGTGACATACCTCCGTCCAGTGATTAAGAAGAAACCAATATTTAATGAGATCTTTTTAATACATTTGTGGTTATTCGGAGGAGACTTCAAGTCAAGAATAGGTGAGATGCTGGACACAAAGATATATTTAAATTATGAAAATATTAACAACAGCAGACAGTCCAAGAATAAAATTTTAAACGGTGAAGAAAAAATTCTATTAGAATTTGTTCAGGAAAACCAATTTGTTATTGTCAGTGGCAGAATGGAAGGCGATATCCCAGCAGAATATACATACATATCTCAAAATAGAAAATCGATTGTAGATTTTATTATATGTTCCCAAACCTTAATTGAACATTGTCAGACCTTAACAGTACTTGATGAAGATACCTCAGATCATTTTTCTGTACGACTCACTCTGTTTACTGAGTTGGATACAGGTAGATAAAAAAAAATGACATATCAAATGTTAGGAAAAAATGTGACTTTAAGATTGATAAAACACTATGGTTAAATAGAGTTGACTCTATAACAGCCGAATTGATAAATTGGGAGGAGAAAAACAAACCGATTGATAACTACCAGAAATTAATAGATGTGAAAAAATGCATGTGATCTAATAAGCTTCACTAAACTCTAATGACAAAATGTATAACTAATATAATTGTTTAGCAAGCAAAAAAGCAGAGCTGCTTCCCATTCTTTAGAAGGAAAATTGCATGTCATATACAACACACGGCATCCCAAGAGGATGTAGGAATTATTATACTGGTGTAGTTTTGAATTAGCAAAAGGAAGAAGAATTAGTCAAAAGTAAGACAAAGTATCTTTATTTTTATCAATGAAAATATTTGATATATTGAGCTTATCACCACTTTGTACAGATTTCACTGTGTTTACATTAAAACAAATTTAAAAAATTTGTTTATTCACTAATAGCAGTAATAATTCAAACAAGGCAAATTCTGTTACAAATGTAAGGAAGTCTAGTTCCTGAAATTTTAAGTGTTACTACACTGTGTTCCGTAATTATCAGACTTTTTGTTTTATTCGTCAGTCATGATTCGTGACTGTCATTATTAGAAGACTTTTTCTTGGCAACTTCAGCTTTTATTGTCTTCAATTTCTTAGATAATATTGAATGTTTTTAACAAATTACATTTTAATATTAATTTATAATATGGTATTGAATATAGATGAATTCCTAATTTAATTTTATGTGAATTAAGATTTTAAAAGAGAAATGATGCGTTTACATATATTAAACTTGCATTCTTGCAGAAATATGCGACAACAGAATACAAATTACGAAAGGCATTTTCAAGGTTTGGACCCATAAAAAAAGTAAGCGTTTTTAGAATTTTAAATGTAAATAAATTTTATAGAGTTTATATTTGTACGGATGCAGAATATATCCAAATCTCTAAATTAGGTTCAGAAAAAATTATACCAGTCTTGGAGTAATTTTTGGCAACAAAATATTTTTGCAGTAGTTGCAAAATCTTTACAACAAAATGAAGTATTATTTTGACTAAGCCTGTAGACATTAATGAGGGAAATTGTCAAAAACATAATGGAAGTCCCATATATTTAAAATGAAATTGAAATGCTTGATGTCTAAAAGTCTGGTTAAAAAAAGAAAAGAAAAATTAAGCATATACAGATGTTGTGAGCCAGAGAGCATGTGAATAATAAGTCGGTTTCTTTATTAAAAAACCACAGGTTTGACTTTTACAAAAAACTAAAACTGAGCTTTAAATTAAATTAATTAATTAAAAACCAAAAAGGAAATCTGTTTTTATATCAAAATTCTGACATTATGTAGTGGGAGAAATTTTTTCTCGGCTCGAATTTAAGATGTAATATTTGCTTGTTCTTTGCATGGAAAATTTGCAAATTAATGAACTGCATTTAAAAAGATTTTTTGAATTGTCTTGATTAAATAGCTAAATAGAAGTTATATTATCATTTTATAAACATGTTTTTCTTTATTTAGATATTTCAAAATTTGTTATAAAATTTAAAAATATATAAAAATATAGTTGCTCTTTTCAGCTTGGAAAAAATAATGAAAACGTCATTCAAAACCCCATTCTTCTGATAATCTAGTCAATTAACTCAGTAAAATATAAACAAAAACACAACAATTCATGTTGCTGAGAAATTTAATAAAAACGCAACAAACGTTTTTAGTCAAATCTATTGGCCATCGTGAGGTTAAACAAATTTGAATATAAACAAGTGAAACAGAATTTAAATACAAATAAAATAAGCATATACACATATAAAAATACATGTATAAGATAAATAAAATTAAGTAACAATATATTATAATATTATATAATAATATCGTATATGAAATACGAAAAATGCAAGATATACAAAATCAAGGCATAAACTGAGCTCTCCAATTTTTTAATTAGGTATTTCAGGCTGATGCTAACCCTTCAGCATCCCTAGCATTAATGCTTGTATCATGCAATCTGCCTTTATAGATTTCAATCTTTTCGGCGCTTATCGCCAAAGCCTGAAAATACACTGGTTTTATAATGCTTGCTTCATCCCACTTGACCACCGTGCCCTCAGCTTGTGCCATTTGTGATAGTACTGTAACGTTCGATCCTTCCCTGACATTGTACTTATGCTCTCTCAATCTGATTCGTAAATTTCTGTTAGTGACACCAATATAATTTTTCTTGATGTCTAGTTCCAAGTTTTCATATGGAATCTTGTATACTCCTGCTCTTTTTTATTGTTTTATCAATCTTCTCTTTGTCGTTCTTTAATATTTTATATAAGTTGAAAATTAACAGGACTTTTTCTGATCTTAAATTTCCCTCATGATGGCTTTTTTACTTCTATCATAAGTGAACTTTGTGATTTTAGAGAAATCTCTGGCTGGAGTCTTTGCTTTGTTTATTTTGTTGCTTCATCAGTGCTGTTATCATTTCCATATTGTATCCTAGTATTCTGGCGATCTGAGTTATCGTATTCATTTCTTTCTGCCTATCTGTTATACTGCTGCAATAAAGATCCTTCTAATGAGGGCACGGAAGGCAGCCATTTTGTACTGGAAAGGATCATTTGAGTGTGATGGAATGTACAGTGGGCTTTGCGTTGGTTTGACGTACTGTACAGTACATCTTAGTGACCAAATGCACCTCCTTGAATTCAATATCTATGACTAAAAAATGTATCTGTGGGGAAATTTTCTGTTTAATCTTGATCTTGAGACCGTCATTGTTGTTGTTGATCGTGCTAACAAACTCATTGATTTTTCGGTCATTCTTCCATAGCACAAAGACATTGTCTGCGTATTTTTTAAAATACACAACATCAGACTTGAAGTCACAAAGAACACTTTTTTCTAATTAAAGTAACCATAAACCTCACATTTAAACCATATTTTCAAAGATTTCCAAAGACAAAGTTTTATCGAATTTTTCAAAATAAAACTTAAAATATAATAATTGATTTTTAACCGCACAAAAATAAATATACTGTTGTTTAATTAAAATCTTTTTAACATTTTAGGTAAAACTTGTCAAAAACAAACGTACAGGGCGACCAAGAGGCCTGGCTTTCATTGAATATAAAAAACAAAAAGACATGTACTGTAAGTATTGCTTTTTATAAAATTATTACCACCCGAATTTTATAAAATATGGGCTTTCCGTTCCTCCTACAGTAAACCATAGGCGTGAACATAGTACACATTTTCTGGGAAATTTTCCAGTTGGGAAACTGGTATCTTTCCTATTATACTTACGTTTAACAATCACTAATTATGTGAAATTATTACTGGTAACAGTTCTTATGAGAATTTTTACTTCTTAATAATAATTTATTATCCTAAGAAATGATTTGTAAATTGGATGTTTAGGTTTTTTAAATTTATATGGTTACAAAAATATCTCAAAAATTTTATTAAAGGAAATATTCATATTCTCCATGAAATTGCACAGATAAATATTATAAGTTAAAAGTTAATATTGGTAAAGAATGAGGTGACTGAATTTTGATTAACAAATCTTTATTTTTATTTAAGAAAGTATTAATTTTATATTGATTTGAATGATTAGAAATATTTGTTTCATTCTTTCTTTGTCATTGATAGAATTGTAATACTTTATAGGATCAATATTAGTGCAGTAATACCCCAACTTATGCGAACCCAAAATTACGCGATTTTCAAATCTCGTCAATTCGTCTTTTGTTTGAGTGTTGCCTGTGTTCCGATCAATGGTGCTGCTCACATTCTCCATTCTTATGGCGAATGAAGGGACACTGCTTGGGCGAGCTTCAAATAATCTTTTCAGCTGAGTATCTAATACTGTACAATCAACTGAAGGTTTAGAGTAAGATTTCTGTTTTATATAGTAAAATAGAAACAACTGTTCTCTCCTGAAAGATAGTGGAGGCTCATAAGCATCCACTTACAGACTTTGTACAGGGAAAGTTCAAAAAGAACCAGTGCACAAACGTAGTGCTTCATGGTGGATTGGATCACGCATCT